TTATACACTGTACAATAGCAATTTTATTGAGATGAGTTATTATTATTATTATTTGTTTTGCATCGAACCGATTCTTTAATTACCTCTGGATACATATATGTTGAACCTGTACCAAGTAATACAAAATCAACGTCTCGCAAGGCATTCTCAGCATCTCTTTTTTAAATTAAATGCAAGAAATATATTTAAATAAATATAATTGAAAAGAACAAAATACAGATAGTTGAAATATCCAAAACTAACGCATATGATTTTTTAAAACCTTGCTTCAAAAATGAAAATGTGAATGGAACCCCTAATATTGTACTTGAAGAATATCTAACCATTCGCTTCCCTATTACAAAAAAATTACGAACAATTTAGTGTTGGATTACATAAATTTAAACCGAAGACAGATGCCTTACCAGCATCGGTATGTTCCTGAATAGAAAAATTGTTAGTCAATTAGTGAAAAATTAAGTAAAATCATAAAATAAAACAAGAACTAACCCATTCGTGTATCATATCCCACTATTGAAAGATAAAAATTCAAAAAGTGTTAATAAATTTGACGAATCTATGGTGTAGAAATTAGTATTGATTTATAGAGATAATACCTTTATTTCCCTAAACTCAAAGCCTTTCTTTTCGATCAATTCTTTAAATCGCACATTAGCAGCAACTATAACTTCATGCCCACGACGAGAGAAACCCACACCCACATTTATAAAAGGAAGAACATCTCCCATGGAGCCGATAGCTGGATTAAGATAATAACACAATTTGTTGTAATTAATACTGAGATAACACCATTAGTGTTGCGGAAGAAATTACTTTCAAAATCTACGCGTTTTGTCCAATTTTAAACTACAAATGATCTACAAAAATTTGGGTTTCTACTGCAACACTAAACAACAATCTAAAAAAAAAAATTTACCAAGAAGTAGAATTCTTCTTGGCTGAGGAGCATCCCTTTCAGTACTACTAATACTAGAATTAGAAGCTGACCTAGGAAGGGACGTTTTTCTTGAAAAATGCTTATGATTTGGGGTTGTATCGGTATTGATCTCGGACGTAGTCATTAGGAATTGTAAAGCGAGAGAAACAGTTTTTTTCAACTAAATTTTGCCCAACAACCATTAATATAAGACAATTAAACATATGGCTAAAAAAGGTGATGGATCAGCCACTTTCAATGAAACGTTTTTTTTCAATTTAGCTATTT